GTCTTACTCCATCAGCTCCACATCCTTCTCATACTGGGGCAGCCACAGCTGCAGGTGGGGTCTCACCTGGGTGGGGCAGAGGGGAAGAATTCCCCCTCCTTTCCTGCTGCCCACATTATGGTATCAGCCCAGGGTGTCTCAGCAGTGTCCTCCCAGTGCTGCTCTCCATCCATTCATTCCCCAGATTGGACTGATCCCAGAGGTTGCCCAGTGTGGAGTGAGGATGGGTGCATGGAGCTGGGGGGTCTCGGGGTGAACACTCCACCCATCCCTGCCTCCCTCCAGCGGCTGCAAAACCTCGGAGCGCAAGAGCCGGGGCAGCAAAGCGGAGACCTGGAGCCGTGGGGCAGCCAAGGAGAAGACTCTGGAGTGTGGGCAGATCGTGTGGGGCCTGGCCTTCAGTGCCTGGCCAGCAGCTGAGGATGGGGACACAGATCCTGCCTGTGCCGTGGGGCTTCCCTGCCTGGTCCTGGCCACCGGGCTCAACGATGGGCAGATCAAGGTGTGGGAGGTGCAGACAGGTGAGCAGTCCTTGCTGTCATGGCTTCAGACTGGCTGTCCCCTTGTTGCCCTGTGGAAGGAGACCCCATCTTCCCCCTTCCCCAATACCTGCCCTGTCCCAAGCGGGGCTGCATGAATGCTCTGCCTCATTCCTGTGGATGGATGGCACTGAGCCTGGCTCCTCTCTGCAGGGCACCTCCTCTTCAGCCTCTTGGGACACCAGGATGTTGTCAGGGACCTGAGCTTTGCTCCCAATGGAAGCCCCATCCTCGTGTCAGCCTCACGGGACAAGACCTTGCGCGTGTGGGACCTGAGCAGGGATGGTAGGAACGTGCAGGGACATCCTTGCGCTGGGTCAGGGAAGGGGGAGAAACCCATCTTGGGAGGGAAGGTGGTGGAGGGGACCTTTGGGGACAATATTTGAGGCAGAAGGGGGACAGCCATGTGACTGGGAGCAGAGTGTAACCTGGGAGATACAGGAGGGCATTGCCTTGGGATTTACCCAGGGAATCCCCAGCCCAATGTGAATTCCCACTGGGGAAAGGGAGGGAGAGCAGTGCCAAGGAGTCCTGTTCCCCTCTGGTGACACATTTCTGCTGTCCCCAGGGCGGCAGGTGCAGGTGCTGTCGGGCCATGTGCAGTGGGTGTACTGCTGCTCCATCTCCCCAGACTGCAGCATGCTGTGCTCCGCTGCTGGTGAGAAATCGGTGAGTCCTGCAGGATGGGAGCCATCCCTGTGCCTGCTGGGTCCCCAGAAACCCCCCTGGAGAAGGGCCAGGCCATGCTTGTCTGGCTCCTCAGGAGCTGGAAGCTGTGAGCAGAGCCCATGTGCTTTAACCCTTGGCTTGCTCCCAGCCTGATCCCCTGCCCAAATCCCACAGGCCCTGCTGTGGAGCATGAGATCCTACACCCTCATCCGGAGGCTGGAGGGCCACCAGAGCAGCGTGGTGTCCTGTGACTTCTCCCCGGACTCTGCGCTCCTTGTCACCGCCTCCTACGACGCCTGTGTCATCATGTGGGACCCCTACACTGGGGAGCAGCTCAGGACACTGCGGTACAGCCACCTGGGGGGGGACACAGCAATGCCAGGGAGGCTTTTAGGGCTGGCTGTGGCTTTCCCCGCTGGATGAGCACAGCCACCACATCTATACTGTGATATGGACAATGGGGACACTGTGGGACAGGACAGAGCAA